CAGCAGTGTACTAATAGTTAATTAAGGTTACACAATAAATCAAAAGAAGAGAGATAGAAAAATTTAGCAGGTTATACTAAAAGTAAATTATGATTTATAAATAGATCATGAATATGGACTAATGAAGATTGTTACTAATTGATGCCTGATTTATTTATAAGGAAAAAAAGAACTCTCAATTTTTGGATTTGATATCTAAGGATGAATCTTCAGATTTTAATGGTGGTCAAATACATTCTGAGTAGCATGAATGCTATAAAATTGAAATCATAAATAGAAATTTACATTCTTTTTGTCTCAGTGTCTTTCATAAAGCTAAAAGAAGTAGAATTAATGAATTATTAGAAGATAATATTTAGGTAATTATTATTTTAAAATAGTCAATTTAGATAAGAATCTTTAATTTTTATATTTTGTCATTTAGATAGTTAAAAATATCTTAAAATCCCTTCAAATCTATTTACTTCCACAATTAGGGAATCCTTCATTTTAAATATTTCATAAAAATCCTAAAATGGAATATTTTTATCATAAATCAATTCAAGTTTAATACCCCTAACTAAATCAAAAATGAAAAACTGAAGTTTCTCTTCATAAATTCTTGAAAACCCAAAAAAAAAAGTTGAATCTTTTGGTTTCAAATATATTCCCTAAAGTTTTTTCTTTATTTTTTATTCGACGAATGGTTTTTCCACTAAATACATTTTCTACAGTGAATTCTAATCTATTATTTTAAATTATTCTAACACAAAGAAAGCTTAAAAAAATAGTTATCAAATCATTCTTGCTTATTTAAAGAAACTATTTTCTATTTAGCTAATTTTTGTTTGCTTAAAAATAAAATATAATAATATTATTGAAAAATTATTAAATAAAATTCTTTAAACAAGTTAATGCTATTTGAGACCGATTGAAAACAACAAAAAGTAGTCAAGATCTTCTCTGGTATTGAATACTTGATTATTTTCTGCTTCTTATCAATAATGAAATATTATTATTTAATCAATTGAGGCTAGAAAATTAGTTTTAAAAAATATATCCTAAGACTTTTCGGTTTCAATTTCAAAAGTGAATATGAATAAATATTTTGAATCATATGTAAATTTTACATTCTTCATAGCTACATTTTTTAATATAGCTAAAGTTCTATTTTATTAAATGTCAAATACTCTTAATTATGATCTCCGATAAATTTAACATTCTTCTGAGACTTTTGATTTTTCTTAAATGATCAAAAATCTCAAATTTAGTGATATCATTAAATTAACAATATAAGATTTCTCTTTGCGCATAATCCTTTATCCTTCATTTAAATTTAATTTTTCTTCTTCCAATAGTTTTTATTCTTGAATCAAAACTAACTAGCGTATTTAATTATTTTGCATTTTTGAATATAGATTTATCAATATTAAATTATTAAATTATTTAAACAGTAATAAATAGAAGGACCTTGAGTTTGTTCAACCTATACTGAGATAATTTTCTTGTTTGAACCCTGAGTTATAAAGATAGTTTTTCTTTATTCATGTAAGAGTTGAAAATTCTCGAATCCCTTTCTCTAAATTTTGATTTCTATTTAGATTTGTAAATTCTAAGTTATAAGGCAAGTCTTGTGGGCTTCTACCCAACTTTTTTAAGGTTTTTATAGAACCTGCTACATCTTCTGCTTTCAAATTGTTCAGACCTCGAAATGAATCCCTCAACACCCTCCCCACAAAGGTATGCTTTGATGAGTTTGATAATTGTGGGATCAGAATCCACTCGTTTGAAATTTATCTTCCTCCCAGATTCAATTCAATTAATTCTCAATATGTCAATATAATCATTCAGTTCCCCCACCATCTATTCCAAATAACTTTGAAATGAAGGTTGTGCGAAAGAACGTAACATTTCAAGATACACCTATGACATCATAGGATTAACAAGTAAAATAATTATTTTTCAAATTTCTTTTCCTATAATAAATAATTTTCATATTAAAATATATATATAATGATAAAAAACTTAAAATAACAATTTTAAGTCGATAAGTATTAAATTTTTTCCAATTTATTGTTATAATATACCCAGCAAATAAAATCCTTAAAGATTTATCAGCTTATTGATTTAATAAATGTGCTTTCTT